GCCAACACCCCAATCGTGCCCATCCCCTTCCACTATTCGTCATTCGTGGTTTTCCAGGACGTCAACAAAATTTCTCCCACAGTTCACAGAGCCGTCCATCATCGAGTCCAACACGACGACCGTCGTGTTGGACACGATGACGGTTGAGCGCGGGCGTGTACGCCACGTGCGGAACACGACCCCACCGTCGTGTTTAGTCCGATGACGGTCGCTGTCACCGCATCGAACACGACCGCGGTGGCACCCTCCGACCCCACCGTCGTGTTCAATCCGATGACGGTCGCTGTCACCGTGTCGAACACGACCGCGGTGGCACCCCCCGACCCCACCGTCGTGTTCAACCCGATGACGGTCGCTGTCATCATGTCGAACACGACCGTGGTGGCACCCCCCGACCCCACCGTCGTGTTCAACCCGATGACGGTCGCTGTCATCGTGTCGAACACGACCGCAGTGGCACCCCACAACCCCGCGGTCGTGTTCAATACGTTGACGGTCGAGCGCGGGCATGTACAGCACATGCTGAAGACGACCCCAACGTCGTGTTCAACCCAACGACGGTCGCTATCATCGTGTCGAACACGACATCGGTGGCACCCCCGACCCCACCGTCGTGTTCGACCGATGACGGTCGCTGTCCTCGTGTCGAACACGACCGCAGTGGCACCCCACGACCCCACGGTCGTGTTCAATACAATGACCGTCGAGCGCAGGCATGTACAACACGTGCTGAACACGACCACGACGTCGTGTTCAACACAATGACGGTCGCTGTCATCGTGTCGAACACGACCGCGGTGGCACCCTCGACCCCATCGTCGTGTTCAATGCGATGACGGTCACTTTCGTAGTGTTGACATCGACCGCGTTGGATCTCGGCCGTGCCGGTGGTAATGTCCAACAAGCGACGGTCGAGCCCTCGCGGACATGTTCGCCTCAAAAGCACCGTCGTGTTCAACGCTGGCGGTCCCTCGTCGTCGTCTTCAACACGACGGCGGTGGCTGTCATGCAGACACGGGTATCGAGCGCGACAAGGCAACGATTGAGCACTGACAAGTTGAACATGACCGCGCCGTCATGAGAATACGGTGACGGTGGCTCTCGCCGCGTGCGCCTGTCGTGTTGTGCAATGCGATGACGCGTCGTCGGGTTCAACACGACCGCGGCGGGAGATCATCGCGTTCAACACGACAGCCAGTCGCCGTGTCTCTCATGCATCGCTTCTGTTGAAGACTGTGTCTTTTTCCGCATTCACGGGCCTGATCTCTTACATCGGCTGTGTGTGGCTAGCAGTGGCCTCGCTGAACCACATGTGTTGCACTCTACATATACCGCATGTGATCCATCTAGCTGCGGATTTGTTACTGATATGCATGTCTTGTGCCAATGGTCCACTGTTTTGTCATCGCAGAAACGTTTTACATGGCTTGTGATGGGCATGCACCGCGGCAAGCTGCCAACACAACTTTGGAAAGCATGGACTGTGTGGCATCTAATATACTTCCTAATGATGAGTTTCCTCCGCCGGACCTGCTAATGTTTTCGCAAGATATTCAAATAACTCCAGAATCTCCTGATCATAAAAGGTCCCGGATGGCTGCGTGTGAAGAAACCACATGCGAAAGTGCATCTCCAGCCTTGGGCGGACCAATGAAAACCTCTGATGCAGAAGGTTCGGAAGGTCAGGGTAGGGCCGCCTCCGGTGACAGGAACACATCCGATGTAGATCGTATCATGTGGGTGCCAAGAAGTTCGCTACGAGATTTCAAGTGCACAGGCCTTCTGTTTGGCGAGAGTGATGAAGATGGTTCGGAATCTGGTGCTTCGATGTCATCTGATGCCAACAGTTCTCCAGACAAAATTGATCATCCACAACCTTGCGATGATGATGACACTCACCACTACTGTCGCAACGGTATGGAGAGTTCTGATGTCATATCTGATTTTGATGACATTTTCCCAAAACGTTTGTCGTTTGAGAAGCGTCCTTATACTTTCCGTTCAAAATGCCGCGGTCAAAGAAGATTCTGCAAACAGTTCACAAAAAGCTCACCAAAAAAACATTGGCGAGTGTGCATGGACAAGTTTGTTGTAAACAAGATTGTTGCGCTCGCATGACCATGGAAGGCATCAAAGCTGTCCGTAGTGCATATTACTGTAAGGATCACAAAAATAGAGATGCCTGGTGGGTTGAAACGTTAAAGAGGTTCACCTTCGTGGAAGATGAGAAAGAGATTGTACAACCTATTGTGGGCAAAAGAAAGGTGTACATTAGTGCATGGTGTTTCACACTGGGTGTGTGCAGGAATACATTTTTGAAAAAGAGGGTGACTTTGTCAAAATGTTACATTATGCTGGAGCATGGCAGCACTGGACTCAGACGCACATCTGCAACATATGTGATGATGTTCGGAAAACTAAGCTCCTTTGTGCGTGACAATGAAGATTCCATGACCAATGACATGAGGATCAAAGATGGAGAATCACGAGTGGTTCTGAGATTGCCTGCTTGCTATAACAAGGTTGACATTTATAAGTTGTTGAAGTCACAATTTGACAACTTGGGTGTCCCTTCTGTTTCTCTCCAAGTTTTTTATAACATGTGGAGAACACACTTCTGACATGTTAAATTCCATGAAGTTGATGAAAACTTTGCAAAATGCGAGAAGTGCTTTGAGTTCAAAGAATCTATCAATTCTGCGAAGTTCGTACGTGTGCGTGATTATTTCGTTTCGGAACGCGACAAACACTTGGACTTGCAGCTCCAACACTGTGCTGCTTATGAGGTGTGGAAGGATGCGTCGAAGAGACCAGGTTCCAACAGTTTATGCATCATTATTGACGGTATGGACCAAAGCAAGACGAGTATTCCACACTTTGGCGGAGAAAACAAGTCGAAGGCATTCGCAAATATTCCAATGATGAAAACAAATTTAACAGCTATTATCGCACACGGCCGTTCACCATCGGTGTATGTCCACACATGGTACCCTTGCTATCCACATGATTTCAATGTTGTGGTGTCATCCATTATGAAAGTTCTGCGTGACATACAGGCGACAAGCAACTTACCTCCTAAATTGAGGATACAAGCCGACAACTGTTGGAGAGAAAACAAAAACAAATACGTTTTGTCTCTGGCCGCAGCTTTGGTGAAATTTGGCTTCTTCAAAGAAGTCGAATTCGGTTTTATGTTGGTAGGACATACACATACGGACGTTGATGCCACTTTCAGTAATTTCTCTCGCAAACTGAAAATGCACGATGCTTATACCATGCTCGACCTCTTCAAACTCGTTGCCAGTTCCCAAAAAGAGCGTCCTTTGTGCACATTCATGGATGAAATTGCTGACTGGCAGGGAGCTGTTAAGCCCTTCCTGGTCAACAAACTGACCGGTCATACAAAGCCACATTTATTTAGGTTTTATATGGAGGATGATAATCCTGTGTTCCAGTGAAAAGAGTATTGCACTTCTCTGCACTGATCTTCTTTGGTCTATTGCTGTGTAGCATCGTGTTCGGGTTCGGTGACTGAACCCGAACGTTCGGGACCGAACGCGAACGAGCGCCGAAACTCTCCGAACGTGAACATAAAAAAAAAAAAATAATAATAATAAAAAAAAGTTCTCCAAAAAATATGAAAAAATATATGTTATCTAAAATAATAATACAAACAACTTTTGCCTTGGAGGTATGGTCAAATTCGTAACCAAACCCGAGTTAAAAATAAAAAACAAAAAAATAAGTTTTTTTTTTTTTTTTTTTTGAATATGTTCGGCCGAATGTCAGCCGAACACGTTCGGGTGACGTTCGACCGAACACCCGAACATGTTCGGGCGTTCGGAAAAGCTCCGAACATGTTCGGTGTGCTACACATGTCTATTGTTTTAAGAGAGATGAAAATAAAGCATATGCTGGACCCGAATGGCCATTCGAGCCTTCACCTGTTCTCCCGTCACCTATTCGAATTGTTAAAGAAACATCACGTGGTCAACCCGCTAAGGATAAGAATTCGGATTTCAAATCAGGAATTGAAGGCGTGAAGACGTTTGTTGAGTGGTTGGAAAACAAGCGGCACGAGTGGTTGGGAATGAAAGATGAGGTTAGCTTCTCAAAGGAGAGTGCTCTTTCATACTGGAAAACTTTCCTGGACACAATCGAGCAAAATTATGTGTCTGGCTTTGCGAAAACATCACTCAAGGCTGGCTCTTAGCCGTCGCGGGACAGAATTACGAAGGACGATGCTGAGGATATTGAGATTGCCTTCCTCTTACAGAGCAATGAGAATAAGGAGTCGTTGTTCGTTGGGCCAGCCAATGAGCGTAAAAAAACAGAGCTCGACCCGGTTGTGGATGTCGAAAAGGGTCAATTCCTTCTCTTGCGTCCTTCGTAAGATGATATCGATCAGGGAGCTCCCGTGTGGATGGGTAGAGTCATTTCTGATGTTGACAACGAAAGGAAGTCGTTTGCTTTCAATTATGTTCTTATTGAATATTGGATGCCACAACCTGTCGTTAAAAGTCTTTCTCTGCAATATGCAAATGCATGGAAGAAGATATGGAAGAAAGACAACATAACAGCACAGCAGTGGCAACACGTGAATTGTGTTTTGTGGAGCTGGTCATCAAGGACGTTGCATTTGAAAAATGGAGTGCACATTCCCAAATCGGTCAGAGAGAAAGCCTTGGCATGCCTTTCACTTCCCGATGATAAAGACCAATAGGATAAGTCGCTGAGAAGGCCTCATTTCGTGCGTGTTGGTGTACCATTTACTTGTCATTGAACTTCCATTCATATATGGTTAAATTATACTGCATTGGCTTACCTTTTACTTCCCTATGATGAAGATTAGCAGACTTTAAGTACGTCGTTGAGAAGAGGTAATCATTTTCATTCGAGTGTATTGCTGTATCAATTAGTTGTCATTGAGTTTCTGTATTTCATGTGTTGCAGAATGGTTCATTCAGCGACTGGATGGCCGCCAAGCAATATGGTGTGGGGCAAAAATGTATGGCATGATATGAGGTCTATCTTTTTCACACCTGAAGTGGTTTTTGAGGGTGCAGTACTCAGTGTCAGAGGTGTGGATGTCGCACCGGATTGCTGGGAGCATTATCCTCGACAATGTTTGTATATTTGTGGTCGTAGGTGTTGTGGAACAAGAGAATATCCGTGAGAAGCGCTCGCACCGTATTCATAATTGTACTATTCAGCAGTGAAGTTCTACCACAACGGCTTCAAGGTGATGACCTTGTACTGTGCAACGTCAAGTATCCAAGGGCGTTGCGAACTTTCTTTTCTTATTCATAACGATCATTCTAGAAGTGCAAACAT